TTATTATCTCTATTATTTTCTAAGAGAATATATATTCCCTCTCAAGTCAATGCAGTTCTCCTGTCAGCTTACGCTGTTAACTGCAGTCTGCCTGTTGAACAACGATTTGCTGCTTTCTAGAATTTATGTGTTGGGGAGATGATGCAGAGCAAGACCATGAGCTTTTTTCATCAGGATTAAAAGCTGTATATATATAAATATATATGAAAGTAAATAAATATATTATATATATATATATAAAATAGTTGACGCTCAATAAACATGCTCAAATAAGCTGCAAGTAGTCACAAAAACATGATGTTTAGATGGATTTTAACATGCTTCAACGCAGGACAAATCATCTTCCCCAAAGTATATAATCTTTCAACTACCTGTAAGTATATATAGAATGGATGGATGGATGAGAATAATCCAGTCAGAAAATAGCATGTCTTGCATTACACAATATTCTAGGTGGTTATATGAGGATTCAAGAGCACTTACAGGAAGACAAGTGGCTTTGAAGTCTCCTAAAGGAAAACCTATATATCCCTCTTGCCTCAGACAAAAGCATCATTCACACACAGAAAAGCCTCTGTTGTTAATACAGGCAGTGCCATCCACAAACGTCTATTACAAAGGTGGTTTTAGCAGTGAATAAATTTGGTAACACACAAAATAATCACTCAAAAAAATAATAATAACAAGACTATAAAAAATAACTAAATTCTAATAGAATACTGAAATCTCATTCCCAGAACACAGAATAAAAAGCCAATATATTGCGGAAAACCTGTTGATGGATGGGAGGCAGAAAGAGCTATTGCGGCAAGCCATTTGAACCTTTATTCCTTAAAGCTAACTAGTGTATATTTTTGTTACTAGTATAGTCTACTAGTGTAGAATAATATTTTATATTATTCCTAGCAAGTAATTCAACAGTGACAGTGTCTTTTTCAGTTTTTTGCATTTATACTTTTCCTGCTTCCTAATCTATTTAATAAACCTGGCATTGTGTATTATGAATATTATTGGCTCTTCGATGAATTGCTATGTTCCTTCTCCTCTGTATGTGACTAAGGATAAACGCATCTAATAAATGTAATGAAAATTTCACTAGTGCTTGTTCCTTTGCCACTAATCATTTTCTCGATAATGACTACTTGGGACTACCTCTGGTCAGATATAGCTAAACTTAATTTCCCACTACTATTTACTAGGGGTGGTACAATATATCGATATGGCGATATATCATTGTCCTTCTCCAAGCAATACGAAAATCGATATATGGCGTCAAATATTGATATTTTAATTATTACAATAAGAAGCTCTATATAGATTTCCCTGCTTCCAGCAACTAAAAATGCGTCAAAATCGCGGTCGCGCCATTTCCACCTTCTTTCCAAACTGCTCTGAGCAACCATGAACCGCGTTCTCTATGAAGATGGGGAAGCACGAGGAACCGAAGGATAAGCAGATTTCCAGTCACTGTATTAGCTCTACTGCTATATATACAGTGGGTACGGAAAGTATTCAGACCCCCTTAAATTTTTCACTCTTTGTTATATTGCAGTCATTTGCTAAAATCATTTAAGTTTTTTTTTTTCCTCATTACTGTACACACAGCACCCCATATTGACAGAAAAACACAGAATTGTTGACATTTTTGCAGATTTATTAAAAAAGAAAAACTGAAATATCACATGAAGAAGAGAAGCACAGCTCAGCCACAGTGATCTTTGGGTTCTTCTTTACCTCTCTCACCAAGGCTCTTCTCCCCCGATAGCTCAGTTTGGCCGGACGGCCAGCTCTAGGAAGGGTTCTGGTCGTCCCAAACGTCTTCCATTTAAGGATTATGGAGGCCACTTTGCTCTTAGGAACCTTAGGTGCAGCAGAATTTTTTTTGTAACCTTGGCCAGATCTGTGCCTTGCCACAATTCTGTCTCTGAGCTCTTCAGGCAGTTCCTTTTACCTCATGATTCTCATTTGCTCTGACATGCACTGTGAGCTGTAAGGTCTTATATAGACAGGTGTGTGGCTTTCCTAATCAAGTTCAATCAGTATAATCAAACACAGCTGGACTCAAATGAAGGTGTAGAACCATCTCAAGGATGATCAGAAGAAATGGACAGCACCTGAGTTAAATATATAAGTGTCACAGCAAAGGGTCTGAATACTTAGGACCATGTGATATTTCAGTTTTTCTTTTTTTAAAAATCTGCAAAAATGTCAACAATTCTGTGTTTTTCTGTCAATATGGGGTGCTGTGTGTACATTAATGAGGAAAAAAAATTAACTTAAATGATTTTAGCAAATGGCTGCAATATAACAAAGAGTGAAAAATTTAAGGGGGTCTGAATACTTTCCATACCCACTGTATGTTTATGGAAATGAGAACTAATCACTATCAGCGTGGCCCATAGGCATCGATCACGTTATTACTGCAGAGCACATAATCAGTCCATGAGTAGCCTAACCTCTCCGCTCGGATCGCAGGTGGATTTCCCTCACTAACTATATGAGTGAGAGAGTGCCGCCGGCGCGTCCAGTTTTATGTCAACAAAACTGGATGCTCTCCCTCTCTCTCAGATATTGCAAGTGTGCGTTATGCAGTGGGCACCAACTGGCAGAAACATAAATCTGCACCTATGGCATGGGCGACGAACAAAAACCTCGTCAGTGCCGTAATGCAGAGCAGAATTGTGCAGTGTGTGTGCTTGCAGCACGTCTTCATTTGAAATAACGAACCTGAGCGCGCAAACGAGGCGATGTGAATGGCTATTTTTTCCTTGCATGTCATGTGTGTGGGGCTCCGTTTTTATGATGAGAGGAGAGGAAAGTTTGAGAAAACATTTTATCAAAATTTAGGTACATTTTTAAATGTACCAGGTTTATATATATAGGCCCTATATATATAAACCTGGTACATTTCAAAATTTACCTACATTTATCAGGCTATATATAAAGTTGATAAGCAGTTAAATGTGTTGGTTTACACACAAAGAAAAGTGTAAGCTTTTAATAAGTCCAAGAATAAAATGATTAGTTTACTTAGCATGTTAAATTTGTTTTACAGAACTTTTGTGCTGTTTTCTAACAGTTTGGACTTGAATAAAGAGAGAAAACTTGCACTTAACCTTTTCACAGGCATTTTGTTTTCATAGTTAGACAGATATCGTGATGTATCGTTATAGGATTGTCTAGCAATATATCGATTATCGCAGAATCGCTGTATTGTGATATTATCGTATCGTGAGTCATGTATCGTGATTCGTATCGTATCGTGAGGTACCCTGCGATTCCCACCCCTACTATTTACACTTTCAACCAACTTTACAACTAACTATTCATTAGGCACTAATATTTCTTTATGTTACCTTCAGCTATTCAAACAGTAGCTATATGAATACTTTAGCTAGTATCTATTCTAGTTTTCCTAAAGTGTGTGTTTCAGTAGTTAACTAATTGGACTATACTATACCTTGACAAGTAGGCAAATTTAACTTGGTAAGAAATTTTACAAGTAACAGTTGGGATATAGTATTGTTTTGTGAATAGATACTAGTATCTAATAATGCTAATAGTTACTAATAATGCTAGTCAAACTGGAATAGATGATAGTAGCTTTTGGATAACTACTGCTAACTTTTGGGTAACTACTTTTTGGATGTACCAGAACTTTTGGATATACCAGTTTTCTAAATAAGAAATAAGCACTAGTAAAACCCGGAACAAGCACTTGTACCAACTAATCCTACTAACCAGAAGTACTGTAAATAGTTGATATCTGAACCACTCTAGTGAAAATTAACCTAAGGTTTTATTATAGTAAAGGTTTAGTAACTATGGATTTTTGGAGTATTGATTATCATTTGTATAACCACAGTTTTACTACAAATACCATGGTTAAACTATGGTTAGTGTAGCAAAACCATGGTTAATTTGTGGTCACCATAGTTTAACTAACAAATTAACCATGGCTTTGGTTCTGTTTTTTTTTAGCTTGTTTGTTTTATTTGTAGTAAAACCATTGTTAATTTTTGTAAGGGCACTTAGGGCACAGATCCCGATAGAACTCAATAATGATTAAATCTATACTTGTCAGAACTGGGATGTCTAGAATCCAATGAATAGTTGTGCCACTAAAACATAGCAGTTGCAATTGTATTAGTATTAACTGAAATAAGTACTAATAACATAACAGTAGATTTTAACTAGCAAAAAGCTACAAATGTTAAAACAGCTTGCCATAAGCGACTCTCACACCATGCTCCAACACAGGAGCGTTTCCCATGTAAGCCAGGAAAACTACTAAATGAAGCTGAAAACAGTCTTTTTAAGAACACCAACACCAGCTAGCAAAAAGCTACAAATGTTAAAACAGCTTGCCATAAGCGACTCTCACACCATGCTCCAACACAGGAGCGTTTCCCCATGTAAGCCAGGAAAACTACTAAATGAAGCTGAAAACAGTCTTTTTAAGAACACCAACACCACATTAAACCACTCGACAAAATGGCAATGCCAGTATAAGATTTCAGAGAGAACTAAAGATGACCTGTTTAGAGACGAATTAGACAGTGCGTGCTAATGTCATTCCATAAAGTCAATGCAATTGTGCTGTTATTCTGCAATGCGTGCGTTCTTTGTTTTAAGTCTACGTTAAACATGTGCATTAAATATACATAAGGACTATTTTATATTCATTTAACCGCTTTCAGATCACCAGCATGTAATACTGACTTCTGGTTGTGAGATACGGACTTGCGTCCCTCTCATCAGCAGCACTAGGGTACTGTACTTTTCTCCAGCTAAACAACCAAAAACACCATCCAGAACAGTCAAACGTGCCGAAGTACTCCTCACATGATAGCTTTTACCATGTAGACAATTGCAGATCAACTATGAGAGCTTTGAGAGTAGTGCATCACTGTCGTGCGCAAGTGTTACATATGTTGTTTACACACTGCTCTCGCTTCGATACTAAACATAAGCTTTCATACATACTCCGCTTGTCTTACCTTTATGCAGAAACGTTGCGAAAATCACGTAGAAAAAGAGTGAAATAGAGTGAGATCCGAGTCCCGAGATCGCCATGTTGAACACCTGCTTCAGACTGGCGGCGCTAAATCACCTAGAGACGCTCGCAGGATCATGAGATGCGGAGAATCGGGAGGGAGTAAACACTCGCACGCACGCACGCACGCACGCACGCAAGCAGACACAAACGAGCGCGAGCGCACAAAGTAGGCTATGCAATTCTACTGCTAACATGTCGCCTGTCAATTAATTACAGAAAGTGTCTGTTTCGTTCAAACTGCGCGAAATATTACTTTTGTTGAATTATCCCTTCATATTATTTTGATTTACGTGAAGGTGTACAGTACAAACAAACCCTGACAGGATTATCAGAACGCTAACATAAAGTTCTTAATCAGCTTTTAATATATTTTTAAACTATCTATCTGTCTACCTTGCTCATAACGCCAAGGTGAGTAAAACATTAATAAAAAACTAATACCAATGAACAAATTTGCTTAGAATGGATTTACAATATTTAAATTTTTGTGCTTTCATTTGAACAAAATGAATCATTTGGGCGGTGTGTGTGTGTGTGTGCGTGCGTGCGTGTGTGCATTAAGCCTTTCTCTATCGCATCACAGTGTTTCACACACAAACAGCGTCCCCTATGTTCATGAGCGAGGCAGAGCAGCCTCAACACAACCCGATATCAGAGGTGATATTTAAACTGTTGTTTTATTAGCTCCTCACCATTATGGCATATTAAGACAAAACATATTTGAAATATAGATCCAGACACAATAAACATCGAAAGCTTTTAAAAGAAGCACATAAGTGACCGCAAAATACAGCGATGTCATTGCAGTTGTCCAGCTGCCCACCCATAAATCACACAGAATACTCATCCATCTGTGTATGAGTATTTGTAGTGATTTATGAGTGCAATCATTTTGTTGCATTCCATTGCATTAACCCGTCAGTCATCTTCAGTTAGCAAAATGCAAATGAACTCCTGAGTATCCTGCATTTCACTTTCTTTGGTGGAGCTGACCGTTAGTCTAAATTTATTTGAAATGTCTTCTCTACAATTTGGTGACAGTTTACATTACATTTTGCATATATATTACTACAGTTAACTGTAATAGCAAAATGAACAGTTGATTTTCACAGGTGATTCCATAAAATAATTACACATTAAGCACACGTTGTTCGTTTATTTAGTAGGGCTACTTGCTAATTTATTACACTCTAACATAATCAATTTTACCTTCATCCTACAAAGCTCAAAGAAAATTGAAATAATTAAATGAATAGTTCACCTAAAAATGAAAATTTGAAATGGTTTAAAGTTTAAAATGTCTTAATGGTGTATTTGTTTATTACAAACATGCATATTTTTGCTTCAAGTCAAGTCAAGTCACCTTTATTTATAATAGCGCTTTTAACGATACAGATTGTGTCAAAGCAACTTTACAGTATTAAATAGGAAAATAGTGTGTCAATAATGCAAAATTACCATTGTAAACACTCAATTTTCACAGGATGTTAATTGATGGACTGGAGTCGTGTGGTTGTGGATTATTGTGATGTTTTTATCAGCTGTTTGGACTCCCATTATGACGGCACCCATTTAATTCCATTGGTGAACAAGTGATGCAATGCTACATTTCTACAACTTTGTTCGGATGAATGAACAAACTGGTCTACATCTTGGATGACCTGAGGGTGTTTTTAATTTATGGCTGAACTATTCCTTATCATTTATTCCCTAATATTAAAATAATATTGTTAAAACCTGTACTGTTCCACAGGCTTTCAGTATTTATAATTAGAAGTAAGCTGTAAACAAAAAACAAACCAACTTTCTTTGGCCACTAATTTGTTTTCTGGACATGGTAGTGTCACGTTTATTTTTCTGTTCTACCTGCCTTGACCTAGTTTTCCTGTGTTCCTTGATTAGTTCATTTGGTTCCACCTGTGTTTATTCATTATCTTGTTTGTCTTTGCTCATTTAAGCCCTGTGTTCTCCCAAGTTCCTTTGTCCTTTATTAGTTTGCGTTTAGGTGATTGTGGTTGTCCTTTCTCTTGAGCGGCTGTTTGAATTAAAGACTGTTTGGTGGATTACTCCTGTGTCGTGCGCTTGTCTACAGCCACAATCCGTGACAGAATACAGTACCATAAACAAGATGGGCTGAGGACCAGCTGTGGTGCCTGTGGCAAGGTGGTCGGCCTTTGGAGAGGTATGTCGAGGAATTTATCGAGTTTTCCTATCCGTTGAACTGACCTGATGCTTTACTATGCGCCTGTTTTCAGTTGGGACTGGACGAGAATAACATTCGCTGTAGTTCTCCCATGTGTGATTTCTCTTTGGTCGAGTTAATCAGTCTCATCCTGTATTTAAATGGCTCTAACTTTGAGGTAGAGGAAGTTAGAAAAGATAAGAACCGTTCTCGTCCAGCCCCTACTGAGAACCAGTACTGAGCTCACTCCTGGCCAATGGCTCCGGCCACCCCTATCCTTCTGTTTCTCCCCGAGCCCGTAGGTGGCCATTCAACAGCACTGGGATGCACCTGAGACCCAAAGTGGCAGATCCTGCATATATATCTTCTGCGATACAGTCACGGCGATCATACCAGAGCCTCCGGATCTTCCAGACACCGCCAAAGAGGCCATCTCCAAGCAGGGGCGCCGCTAGCAATTTTGGGCCCTATGAAAGAATATGAAGTTGGGCCCCCTACCACGCCAAACATACACTGTATTGGGACACCCCCTTCTAAGGAACAGGTTTGACTACTTTAGTAGTTTCTATGAGTACAAATCTTCAAAAAGTTTAAGCATAATGATATTCTAGCGAATTGTGTGCTTCTTATTTTATGCCAATAGTTTGAACGGGACCCTTTTCTATTCTAAAACAACAATGCCTCTATGTATAAGGCAAGGTTAAGAAAAGAAAAGAAAAAGATTGATTCAGTCAGTGTGGAAGAACTTGACTGGTCTGCATAAAGCCAAGTCCTAATCCCAGCTGAACATCTCTGGTGTGACTTTAAATGAAGACCTTGAGCCAAAAACTCATCACCAAACACCAATGACTTGTACATATACTATTTGGACAAATGTATTGGGACACCACCTTCTTTAGAACAGAAAAAGGCACTTCCAGAACTGTGGCATCAAAGGGAACATGGAAACCTAATTAATGTATTTAAAAATTGTATTTCTATCATTGTTGCCACAGTTTTGGAAGTCTAAAAGGATTGTACGCATATGTACAAGTCATTGGTGTTTGGTGATGAGTTTTTGGCTCAAGGTCTTCATTTAAAGTCACACCAGAGGTGTTCAGCTGGGATTAGGACTTGGCTTTCTGCAGACCAGTCAAGTTCTTCCACTGACTGAATCAAGGTTTTTTTTTTTTTTTTTAAACCTTGCCTTATACACGGGCATTGTTTTAGAATAGAAAAGGGTCCTGTTCAAACTATTGGTATAAAATTTAAAAGCGCACAATTCCCTAGAATATCATTATATGCTTAAACTTTAAGATTTGTACTCCTGGAAATTACTAAAGTAGTCAAACCTGTTCATTAGAAGGGGGGAGGGGGTCCCAATACTTTTGGCAATTACAGTGTACAAGCCAACCTTGCAATTCAGAATCTTTGTCTGCAATTTAATATTGACCTATTACTTTTGCTATTGCTTTTGACCATTAGGTATCAGTAACATAATTCATTCAGAACCTGTTCTATGGACAGACTTTCTGTACCACACAATTCTGCTGACATGGAATGAGTTTGACTGCTTAATCCGTTATATTAATAGAAATGCTTCACTGGGGCAAACAAAAAAATCCTAAACTAATAAATGGGATACCCCATAGCAGCATTTCCAGCAGTATCCAACATTTCTTACTCAGCTAAATGTGACCTATTAGCTTAACCGCTGTATTCTTTATTTGCTAGCTATTTATGCGCACACAGCATACAATGTTAAAAATGTTCTACGTTATGAACCTTAACCCAAAAACCTTTAGCTTCATACACTGTAGATAATTGTGACCCTGCCTGTGGAAACCCAGCTAAAGCTTTTTTTTTTTAAATTTTAAACAGTGGATGAGTAATTCACTCCTTGATTTGCTTAAAGGTCTCCTTTGAGATCTTTTTGACAGACATGTTTATTGTGTATTATTTTCAATGTGTTTTTCTAAATTTAGTGTGGCAAAATAGACGCACAGCCGTAATTCGCGTGCGGGGTATGTGGTTGCCATGACAACCTCACGTGCTTCCTGCTGCTGCTCTATGTAATCAGTGTGAATTTGTAGATTTTTCTATAGCAAAACTAAAATTCTACTGACCAAATCGTCCGGCTCTGTTTGCCACCCCTCGAACTCGAAGACATCTCTAATTTGACAGTTTACCATCTGATCTCACTCAGTGACTCAGGACTCTTTTGTCCCGTCCTCTACGTAGGACGGGACAAAACCATGCACTGAATGGGGGGAGATCATTTTGCTGAAAATGCAGAAATAAGCTGTAATTTTGTTTTATTTGTAACTCTTTGGTAGATGCATTTATCATTTCTATTACACTACTACTACTACTACTACTGTTACTACTTATAGTACAGATCTCTGGGGGCCCCAAAAGTGCGTGGTCCTTTAGAATCGTCCTAACTTTCGCCCCCTTAGCGGCGCCCCTGTCTCCGAGACACCTATTCCTGCACCTCGCTGATCCGCCCTGGAGGCCTTCCTTGTCTCCGCCCTGTTCCTGCCCTGCACCAGCCTTCAGGGCGCCTGCTCCCCATCCCTGGTGGAACGGTTACGATGGGGCGATATGTCACGTTTATGTTTCTGTTCTACCTGCCTTGACCTAGTTTTTCTGTGTTCCTTGATTTAGTTCATTTGGTTCCACCTGTGTCTATTCATTATCTCATTTGTCTTTGCTCATTTAAGCCCTGTGTTCTCCTGAGTTCCTTTGTCCTGTATTAGTTTGCGCTTAGGTGTTTGGTTGTCCTTTTTTCTCCTGGTTATTCTTCTGAGTTTCTGTTTGAATTAAAGACTGTTTGGTGGATTACTCCTGCGTCGTGCGCTTGCCTACAGCCACAATCCGTGATGGTAGATTGGTAATACCATGGTAT